CTCCTCCCAACACTTCATCGCGCGCCTAGTGATCGCATAGCAGTGGGATGTCCTTCTCGCTGCGCGCGCTTTACTTGCACGGATTCACCAATCTTTTTTCGTTAATTACTTAGTACATATTACAAAAATCAAAAAATGGTAAAGGACTTTTCTACTCGATTTGACCTCCTCTACCTGTATATGACCGGTGGGGCGATTATTGCCAGACACCCTGTATATGTATGTATATCATATTATTGCATCTGTATGCAGCATTGTTGTATATATTTCTTCTTTATTGTGTATATGTTTTCTGAATTTAATATTATTTATTGTATATTATTATTATATTGTATTTGGTTTTATTAAAATCTTTTCTCGACAAACAATGTATTTTATTTCACAACATTCTTTAAATTCTCTTTCCATTGAAAGAAAGAAAATGATTGTACCAGAGAGAAATCTGAGAGGGGCCACGCTGCCATTTTTCATAAGACGCTTTTTCTAGACCGTACACTAGCGGCGCGTAAATCCATTTTACAGCCTGCCTGGAACTACATGGCCACATCCATTTTCCGGGATGATAAAAGAGGCCTGGTTGGTTCATGTCATAGATATATTACATATAGATAGAGCTTTGTGAATCTTACGCGTGCCAAGATAAAATTATCTTTTCCTCCCTCGCGCATGTGCAATCGCGCATTTATCTTCTGTTTATCCATGACAGCCATAGATGACAGCCAAGGATATAACCTAATTTTATGTAAAAGTGCTGTATCCCAAAAGATAAATATACGAATGTGCATGCGCGGAGGAAAATCCGTCATTATTTTGGCACGTGTTGCACTATAGCAAAAATGGTACAAAGCTCTATCTATGGGTGCGTTCCACTTAACGCCGCAACGCTCCTAGAATCATTTTATCCTCGTTTAACTTCGATGAAAACTAAGGATAAAATGATCCTAGGAGCGTTGCGGGCATTAAGTGGAACGCACCCTATATGTAATATATCTATGGTTCATGTACGTATTACATCCATTTTCCGGTATGGTAAGGCCGGTTCTACAATAAGTTGCAAATACTCCGTCGCCAGTCGCGAATGCTCCGTCTTACTAAAAATAACTAGAAATAGCGCTTTCCAATTAGTAGTTGCCATCCTTCGCGACCGGTGACGGGGCATTTGCAACTTATTGTAGAACCAGCTTAAGAGTCATGGTTGGTTCATGTCCGTGTTACATCCACAATTTATTAAACAGAAATACGTCTCGCATATAGATATAATTTATATAGATACAATTTATAACATATAGATATAATTTACATCTATATGCGAGACGTATTTCTGTTCAATAAATTGTGGATGTAACACGGACATGACCAACCAGGGCTCTTTTACCATCCCGGAAAATGGATGTGGCCATGTAGTTCCAAGCAGACTGTAAAATGGATGTACGCGCCGCTAGTGTACAGCCTAGAAAAAGCGTCTTACGAAAAACAGCAGCGTGGCCCCTCTCAGGTTTCTCTCTGCTATGATACTTCTTTTTTTTTTGTTTTTTTTTTTTTTGTGAGTTTCAAAATACATCACATAATGACATCCGATGAGATCTTCACGATCATAATGTATTCCGAAACTTATGAAAGAAAAATTGTTGCAATATTTTTTTCTGGAATGTACACAGTTTAATACTATACATATATTGTAAATGATGAAAAATCTATGAGGAAGAGGAATCTTTTATAGCTTTGACACAAGCTATAATTATTTATACAAAGCATATATAATTATTTGATTGTCAGCTTTATTTTTAAAAAATGTATGAACGACAATGAATTCTCATATTGTAATAGCAAAATAAATATATCGAGGTATTTATATTTGTGTATAATACATAAATATTATAAAAAACATTGGTTTTAACGTCAATAATAAATCATCTATATATGTATAATTAATAACTAAAATCGTTCAATAGCAACTACAATTTGCTTTGATATGGTAAGCTTCTTAAACGTTAGAAAATTATCTACAGCGTTATTTGTTTGACTTTTTATGAAAAAACTAGTTATATATTCTGCATAAATATTGTCAAATAAAAATGTTTCCAAATTTCTTAAACTTTCACTTGGCAACATATTTATAACACCTCGAGGTATCTCAGCTGTTGCAAACATATTACAATATGGTGCCAAATTACAAGAATTTGCATCACATAGCACAATAACAGAATTACCAGCAATTAAACTTTGTATTAACCTTGAAAATAAAGTAATTTCATTTTCTTCCTTAAGAAAAATAACACCCATTGGTTTATGTTGTGATGTTATTTCAAATCTGTCCGTTTTAAACATACTGAATTTATTTTACTGAGATATGAGCCTTTTATCCATCTTGATATCACATCTGCCAATAAAAATTTACTAAAAAGAAAACAATTAGAAAATTATCACTAGTATACAAAATAAGAGTACTATATAAAAATATATATATATAAATTTGGTAATAACATATACATTTACCTATTGCATTTTAATGTGAACGCAAAGTTAGATAATACTTGCATTCTAGAATCAAAAGACATAGTACTCCAAATTTCGAATCCTTTGTTAGTAGAATCAACGCAGTTTTTAATATCGTCGCTACAATCAATTACAAATTTAACACATAAGTTTTATTAAACTTTTTAAATCTTGAAATAAATTTAAAATAAAACTTAAAACTAGTCTTAAATTAAACTTTTTAAAAATTCTATAGTAATAATAAGAATTAAATAGAATTATTATAGTAAGATAAAGAAAATGTATATATCCCTCATACACACAATGTTATACATGACCATATACTGCCCTTATGAGTCATATACTTATTTATCACCTTCTATGCACCATCATAAAATGGGTGATAAACTGCATAGTTACAAGTATTATCGTTGTCACTTTCATCTTCTTTTGTTTTCAACTTAAAATATGTTCTAGAATGTATGTTGGAAAAATTTGTCACGCATCACTTTGTCAAGTAGTTGTATATGAGGCATATGATAGATAGAGTAGAAATTCATATGTAAATTTATGTATATAATTTTTTTCTAAATAATGAAAAAGACATAATTTAATAATGCTTAAGTGCATAATTCTCGATATGCAACTGTATTGAGTAATTTGAATAATATACATTTAAAGAAAATGCCAAATTTTTTGCAGCTACAATATTTTCTGACCATATGGATGTTATATTTAAACTGCAATCATTTTTTCTAGTTGTAAGTAAATCTTCCTTAAATTGAAATACATGAATAGGAAAATCTGAATGATGAAAATTCTTATTTAAAAGTGATAAAAATGTCTCTTGTATTTGTTCTTGTACCCAAATTTTGTTTAAAGAAATTTTTCTTGTTATCATTAAATAACTAATAACTGCATACAAATCTGAGTCTTGTAGAAGTATCATTTCGTTACAACCTGTACAATACAAATTTAAGAAACCTTAAATATTGAGTTAAAAAGACATTTTTATTAGATTATGAGGATATTTTTCTTACCTTCAGCTATAATAGTTTTTAATATTTGCAGTTTATTACGAATTGCAATACAATCAAACTGTAAGTCTGTACTAAAACACAAAAATATAACTATAAAATCAATAAAATTTTAAATATAACATAATAAATACAAGTATTAATTAAAAAATATATATAACAACATATTTTTTATTAAATATTTACAGAAAGAAATTTTCTATAATTAATTGCATCTCATCTTCTTTCCACATACTAAATATAAAAGTCATTATTAATAAGAAATAAGTCTGAAAGTGTATTTCCTTTGATTGTAAGCATTCGCAGTTTTCTTCTTTATTGACAAAAAGAAAGTAAGAATTAAAATTTATAAGTATTTATAATAAGTATTTAAGATAAGTATTTATTTTATATTTTATTTTATAAGTAATCGAATGTATGTTAAATCTTAATATAATGCCTTATACCTCTGATTTAGAATTTTTCTTTTGAATTGATTAACAAGCTTTTTAATCAAATAATCAGATTATTTGAATAATTCTGAATTTTTTTAACTAACCTTTATTATACACAAATGACATAATATGTATTTAATTAAAAAATATCTCATCAGAAGTATATGGTACTTTATGATATTGTATTTATGTATCTGCTATTGTTATTTGTAGATAAAATGTAATTTAAAAAAAAATAATATAAGATCAATATATTTTTACAACAGTAATTGCGAAAGAAATGTTATATTTACCATTACTCTTGTGGTAATATAATTGAATAATTGATTCATATCAGTAATTACATCTCTCTATATGCTCACAGGCAAATTAAAAAATGGATAAATTATCTGTTATACAAGTTATTAAGAAGGAGAATCTATAAATAGATAGATATTTTAAAAATGACATTTATAGAAGCAACTTTTACATTTCTCTTATTGTCAGATTACTTATACCTTAAAATATCATGCTTACTTATTTAACAGATTAATACATTTAAATTTTATTTCCTTCCTAGTTAAAGTGGATATACGCTTTAGTGCTTCCTAACAATATATATATAAATTAATGTTACACATTTCATCAAAAATATAGTCTTTATTTTTAACATTAATATTAATTTAATAATTTATTAACACAATATGTTTATATTATATATTATACTTATCCATACTTACTTCTTTGCTGATTTTATTATACTCCAAATTATTGTAATATTTGCGTATAATCTTTAGTCGTTTATGCATAATTATTAATAAAGTTCTAACAAAATTTATAAAAAGAAAATTGAAAAGTACGTATCTACAAATGGCCGTTTCCTCGCACAGAGCAGTGGTAAAAGGTGAAAATAATCTCTTACTTCAAATATTGTGATTTAAGATAACTGATGATTTCAAAGACTTTGTAGTTAATAATATTTTAATAACACTAATGATATATGACAGATATTAACAAATAAGAAAGTGATTTATAAAGTATTTCTTAAGAAATAAATCTTTATCACTCGGTTTTTAAAGTATTGCTGAAATACGATGGAACACAATACAATACAATCAAGAAAAAGACTGCAAAAAGATCAGGAAATAGGAAATATAATTTATAGGTTGGGATGAATACAAAAATTGACAGCAGTGGTAACGCTCATGCCAGTTGCTCTAGTACGGGCCTCTGCACACAGGATGCGTTACATGTGACGGAAGTCGACTGCCAATAATCTCTTGCTAGTTCCAAAAACGCGAGAAGTTAATTGGCCGTTGAATCGACTTCCGTTATGCGTACCGCGTTCTGTGTATGCATGAGTCTTTAGTCGCAACAGTTAAAAGCACCAAAGTGATTTCAAATCTGACGGTTACAAAAAGAAAATGCAAACGAACAATTTTGCGATTAAATTATTACAAACGTTTACATATTTTCCGTCCCACACATATTATTTGTTAAATTGAACATTAAGAAGAAAACGAATTTGCGGAATCGCGATTCGGTTTGTGAAGATTTGTAACGGAAATTTACATAGTGAGAAATTGTACAAATCCATCTCAATTACACGACATGTATGTATGTATCTTTTATGCGTAGTTAGAACAATTATATTAAAAGCATATTTATATTTTACAGAAGTCATAAGAAATAGTAAATTCTTCATCTTTTTTCAGGAACAATAAGAAAAAACTTTACGTAACTAAAAAGGTTATGTTGTAATTTGCAAATAATCGTGTCGTTAGAACAAGCTGCAGATAACCAAATGTTGCTGAAATGTTGATATGAATCATGATATGACCAGCAAATAGAGATTTGCATCTCCATCTACGTCGAGCCGAATCGGATCACGTTTTTTACGCAAGTAAGCTTGTACATAATTATAACATTTTAAATATATATATACATGTATATAATGCAAAAGTAATTTGAATGGCGAGTTGAAATAACCATGATGTTTGATCGTAATGATCGAGGCAGTATGTACATCAATATTTTTCGAAAAAATAGAATTGTGATTATATAATCACTGTGTCAATATTAATCCATGAAGAAAGACATGAACTTTACAATAGGTCAAAAAATCTCATGAAAAAGAGAGATCTCAATTAGTATTTTTCATACACAATTGTAATTTGTTGCCTTCTGTAACTGGTAAAAACTTTAAAGATTCTGTAGTTCAGTAAAATTGAAAGATTTTGTATATATATTATATATAAAATTTGATTTTAAAGAAAATTTTGGAGCTATTAAACATCTATAAATTAAATGTTAATATAATATTAGGTTTGTTTTATTGTATGTCCCAACATGCTCCTACTCGCTCCAATATGTTCCAATCTATAGTATTATGTTACTTATACTATAGATTAGAGCATATTGAACAAGTAGGAGCACATTGAAGCATGCAACATGAACAAAATTATTAAAAAAATATATATATTTTTTAAATATATATATATATATTTAATATTATATTAACATTTATAAATGTTTAATGGCTCCAAAATTTTTTTAAAAATTAAATTTTATATATGTAATTAATTAATTATATATATATAATTTGATTTCAAAAAAACTTTGCAATATTTATTATGGATGTAGTAATTAAAGCCTCTAAATGAATGTGACTTGTAAAGATAACTTTTTAAATTTTAATTTATTTATTTTTTAACACAGTTTATTCTTTATATAAATTGCCATTTAATCAAATCTGCTGTCAATTTACCAATATTGCTAACATTTTGCTTATTAGATAGTTATATTAATTTATTATTTGTGGCTTCAAGAACGTCTGTTAAATAAATTTGTATCATGCATTTAATTAAATAAAGAATAAATGCTTTCTTTGAAGTTGTAGAATTTTGCAAAAAAATCTGACAATTGAAATAAAGAATAAAGCAACAGGTGACAAAAATAAACATATTAAAAGTTAAACAGATATCTTTGCAAAATTAATCTGCCAATATTGTTAATGTTTAGCTATCTGGATGTTATGCATGTGGGCATAAGTTTTATATAAGATAAATGATGGATTTAGTCTTGCTATTTAACCTACTTTTTATATATACATTATATATTTTACAAAGGCTTAAAAAATTTGTAGCATTGTTTCTCAATTTCTACACACAAATTAAACAAAGCTAGTTTTTCCTGCAATATCACGCCGGACGTGTTCGTTCCTATGGTCGCATATATGTACATACGTATAATTGGTAAACATATCCCGGCTCTTTTATTGTGGGAACTATCGTCGTCACGCACCGTGTCGACACATACGTAAAATATAACGTTTCATAGGCATAGCGTGTGTTTAATGAAACAACTCGTTCCATTTTCGACTTATGTCTTTGATTTATTAATATTTCAAATTCGGGGTACAAGCGCTTTTGCCAAAAAGGGTCAAAATAAATTATTTATTATAAGATTGTTACAAAATTTGTACATATATCAATAATATTAATGTGATAACAATTCTAAAATAATGTGATTTTGAAACTTTTAATGAGTTGTTTGAAAACGCGAAGCTGAAAAATATTTAAGAATTACGGTTTTATATAAACTGCTTCAGTCAAAAAAATTAAAATCAACTTTTAATTACTAATTGTTTAAAATTTTGAATTGGTTTTTTTTCTTTAATCAAAATATCGACGAAAGCCACTATTTATCACTAGTCTCAAATTTAAGAATGAAGTGTCAGTGCACTTACACTAGCTTCAAGGTGATATTGGAACGATGTAACTTTCTTCAAACTCATTATAGAAAAATAGCAGAAATTATTTTCAACTGTGAATGCGTGATGTAGGTGCGAAATAATGTACGAGGGAATATCGATACGCACAGTTCTGAAAAGTCCTCTTGTCAGGCCGGTCACGAGTCACCGACACTAACGACAATTACAAATGCCCAGCTCGTAGTTTCACACGCGAAAGGAATACAGAGAGTTATACACAGCTACGTTAGACACACTTGCATTTGCCTGTTCCATACGTTACGGTCGCAAGACTGGCGAGTATCGCTTACCTCTTTATAGATCCGTATTTGCTCGGTTCCTCATATCGAACACTTGGCCCATTGTAAAGACCCAACTGAAAATTATTTACCGCCAACAGTATCATATAGGTCTTTTTTATTTGAAAACGTGGGAAAAAATCGTTATTAAAAGATTCGTTATTTTATTCAACGAAACAATTACTCATACAATTATTTATATAAATGCGTACGATGCAACAATTGTTTTCTGTGCAATATTTGCAATTTATTTGCAAAAAGTTGTAACTAAATTTCTTAGAGCTAACTAAAAAATTGGTAAGGTGGTCCGATGTTATTCATCATTGGCAAGAAGTCGTGCTTCTCGGCCTTCTCTTGCTTTGCAGATGGCAAAGCTCGTTCACTGTTCTTTCGATTAGCTCTCTTATTTATCGGGTTCCGTGGAGGATATATGTGACTAAGATGAATCTCTGATCATTGAAGCTCATTCGCCATCGAGACATCGTAATGTTACAATAAGATCCATATGTAACATGGAATTATATTCGATTTTGTGGATTCCTAAATTTGGCCTCTGGTGACAAAAGAAGGTTGTTTTCCGAGAGTATGATTATTTGTAAAAATAGTTCACACAATTCACATAGATTATAGAAAATGAGAATTTTTGATTCGTAAAGTACCAATTAATGATCGGATTGCACGACGATGCACGCCAAGGCGTTTATGAAAAGGAAAGAGTTGGAAAAAAAAGACTAAAAAATTGGTACAAGTATAAAAATTTTTTGTATTAAATTACTTTATATAACTTTTGTATATACTGTGTGCCAAAAACGATAGATTTCTTTGATTCAATATTGTGATTTTTATTAATTCTATTAGTTCAAATATGTTTTTAAATCCAAATAATTTTAGCAACATTCTAATTATCACTTTATTGAATCACATTACTATTAATGATGTTAATAGCTTAGCTATTATAAACTTAAAATTTTCTTTATCTGCCCCGTTTTTATTCAATAAGTCGATGCCGCGACAGTGTCCAAGACACGTCAGGTGTAACAGTATTCGAGGTCTCGGCGTTTTATTTTCGCTGAAGCGTAGAAACGCATAAGGGAAGATCGCTGGAGTTGATATGGCGAGGAGCTTAACTCCGGTAACCTAGCTTTATGATGGGTCAAATAAAACTCATACAGCTAGATAACCAAAGAAAATGTCCGCGCCAAGATCCTCTTCAACACATGCAAGATTTTCTTCAATTTTTTTATAGTAAGCCATCTTAAATCATCTTAAATCATTGAGATAAGAGAATAAGACAGATAAAGCTAAATAGAAGCTAAGCAAAATAAAGTAAAATACAATTAAAATGAATTAAATTATTAATACATTTTTAAAATAAAAATATTGCGCGCTCTCAAGTTTTTTACATTGTTAAAAAATATTTCAAGAGATAATTTTTAATGATTTTTATATAATATACCATAAATTGAACGTATAAATATAATATTTTGTTACCGCATAATTCTGATGAAACAGTTCTTGCTTTACTGTAAAAAGAATATTTTATAAATTATTTATATATTATATAGAGTATTTCACAATTATTTTTTTTAGTATTTTATGTATTTCTTAGTATTTTATGTATTTTATGTATTTTATTATTTCTGAGTACTTTATTAAAAATAAATTTTGAATACAATGTAGTTGACTTGAGAGTTTCTCTTATCTCAGTCGATAGATCACATTAGTCCTCCACTTTCCAAGTTGCAAATCCTGATCACATCGGCATATAGTACGCGGCCATCGTGTCTACTATCTGAAACAGATACAAAGAGAAATCATAAATCGCTTTGCAACAATCGTCCCTTTGTTGCGCGGATTGATCGATATGCACACGGTGGGGGAGCTGAAAAGTGAAACAGCCGTTGACATTTCGGAGTGAAAGTCATGTAACTTGGGACTACAGATATGTACATAATGTCTGATGACTAAACATGCATTTAAAAAGTCTTATAAAAGGCTTTCGTTAGGAGAACCGGCCTTTTCTCATTAAAGGAAAAAACAATTACATGCAAATGAAAGTGACTCGTGATTCAGTACATTTACTTACGAAAAAGTATTAGTAATAACAGATTTAATTATTTTTGTTTTTACGTATTTTACGTAATTTTGAAACGATTTAATGGAAAAAATTTTTAATGCGTTATTTTACATCGATATATATATATTTAATCTTGCACCGTGTACTAGGCTGCATTACGTGTTTCGTTATATCATAATTACTGGTATTTAGCCGATACGTCATTGCCTCATACATTTCAATCTAATGCCGACGATTAATTCGATTCACAGAACGATATGAATAAAACTCACGTGTCATCTTTCCATGGATTTTGCAGTGACGCTGATTTTTTTTGTATCAATCCTTCATATGGAAATTAAATGTGGTTTATATCTGTAATCAAATTAAATCAAAGCGCTGCTTAATTCACTTTTAGTTTTTTGCTTTACTTATCACTTAAGCGAATTTGTCCAATCATGTTATGAAATCCAATTATTAATAATTCGTATAATTTATACACGTTATTGTACGCGTGCAATATTCGTGAAGTATCGTGATACATCGATTCTTGATTCTATTCGCGTAGATATTCTATTCACGTGCTCTTTCTGTTACCGAGATTAAAGACTCGCACTTCTCTCATCGAAATCAAGCTAGCAATGTGTGCAGACCGGTATAAAGTTTCGTAAGAATCTCCGTTTGGAGAAAGTTATGATCTTGCAATATCGCCTGGTGTGCCTGAATCCGATTTTATTTTCAAAGTGCTTTCTCACTCCCCTTCTCTCTCTCTCTCTCTCTC